AGAGGAAATAACACCATAAGTGGGGGCTGGACCTTCCATTTATATATATTTTCCTCTTCAGTTAACGGAGCATCTCCTGCGTGCTTTGTAGTAGAACTTGGGGTTCGCAATAGACCTGGAGGACTAAAAATAAAAAAATACATATACATAGTAAAGACTCAATTATGTTCTATTTGAAGGATTAATTTTATTAAGAAATTGAATCGATACTAGGCATAATTTAAGTGTAAATATAAATACTACTTTATTTATAATTTGATAACACCGGATTGTACCTACGTTTGACGGTAAATAAATAATTAATGAATCATTAAAAATTATCTGTTATCTTTTGTAGACATCCGTGAATGTTAACAGGTAAAAATATTTACTTGATAATGCTAAAAATAAATCGTGTGTACACAACAAAAACACCTTCAAAACATGTTATATTTTTTAAAAGAAAAGAACGAAAGAGGTTCTAAAATGCAAAAGAAAAGACGAATAAGGAAATTATACTTACTGGGAAGTATGAGGAGTTCTTGCAAGCAATTCGGATAATTTTTCAACCAAAAAGTCTCTATCAGATATTTGAGCGAATAAAAAATTAGAATTATTAACTTCATTTTTAGTAGAAACTATTATTGCCTTATCCAGTGACATAGTGGAAGAATTATTTTGAGTTTTCTCAACTAATTTAACATCTCTTAAGGGAATTACTAAACTAACCAGTGATTTTACCTATTAAACAAAAAACAAGCCATTTATTAATTGACAAAATTATTAATGTTTTCTTACCCTGCTTTCAAAGCAAATAAAATTCTGAGAAAGAAATAACCGACCAATAACGTGTCTTTTGTTATAAGGTGTTAAAAGTGTGCAATCGATAGAACCATCTAATTTTTCAGAGGCTGGTAAACGAAACATTAATCTGTAGGCTTCAGAGTGAGCTCTTGCATCTAGGTCTCGTTTCAGAAATGATGCCTTTTTAGGTACATTTTTACTGTACAAAATTTATTAATTATTAAAGCATACATTACTCAACAATATATTTCTTAGAACTTACCTTAATTTGTATAAAAGATCTTTATCTTCGTTAAACTTTTTACTTTCATCTATTAATCTGAAAAAAGAGAAAATAATAAGGCAAATGTCAGATAATATGCTAGATTTGTTCCAGACTAAATCAACTTTCATATTTCTACTCTAACAACAGGTTAGTCTCATTCTCATTAACATATTAACAATTACACTTATCATTAGCCCTTAATATGAAATTGCAAAATGGTTTTCAGATTATGGGCTAATAGTAGGTGCATTTGTTAGTCTGTTAGTCTTTAGGTAACTGTTTCAGTATGACAAATTATAATTTTACCTTTTCATTGCTAAATCTATTAACTGATCCATGAGGGCGAATGTTTCACTTTTTTTCAGAAACATATTAAAGTAATACTCCCCTTCCCTAGTAGTTATTTTAATTGAATCAGGGAAGATGAGACTGTTTGATTTTTCCAAATTTTTAATTTCTGACCACCTGATGCACAACTTTGTATCATTTCCAAGAATGTAGGAATGAAAACATAAATAATTCAATGATAAGTACATCCATCCTTGGCGGGGAAACTTTTTCCAGTAACTTAAAAAAAAAATCAGTATTAACAAACATGAAAGGACTTTAAAAGCCACACACTTACCTACAAGAATAGTAATTGACAAGTTTTTCTTCAAGAGGAAAGTGAAATAACCTGTGAAACTTTTCACTTGTAGTTTTAAAGTCTTTTGTATCTTCATCTGACAAAGCAAATAATAATAGAAGAAAATAGTAAATGCAACAATTTATAGAACAAACTCACCTTCAATTTCAACTTGATCTTGTTTAGCTGCTATAATAGATTCAATTTTACATGTAACAAAATCTGTGACATCATCTTCTTTGTCAAATGATTTTAATGTACCCATTATATTTTCATTCAACCAATCCCAATCATTTACAATGTCTTGTTTATATAAAGAACATGCTATTACTGCAAAAGTATTCAAATTTTTTCCTGTTTAGCATATGTGAACAATAGTTTTATGACTTACAGTAGTAAACCTCTGAATGTGGAGTTTGATGTAATATACGAAAAGGAGGAGGTTTGGTATCGAAAATAGAATCCATAGTTCCAACAAGAAGGGAAGAAATACCTTTTGAATTTCCATGACCTTTCCTGTGTTGTAGAAGGAAGTATTCTGTGCTTTGTTCAGTTTCCCTAATATAATATATTCATTGGCAAATATTCACACAAAAGATAATAGAAATATGTATTTACCACAAGGCATTGGCGATTAAAACTTCTTGAGGTTTAACCCACATAGCTAATGAAGAATTACGAAACTATTTAAGATAATACCCATAATATTTATGCTGTACGTGCACTGTTTCTACATTTGTCACACTTGTTTTGTATTATACACACTTAGTATTTCTTATCACTTGTAACTGATAACGTTATATATTTTTATAGTTGTTATTACAAAAGTTACATAAATTTTATCTCAGTATTTTTGCACATTGTATCATAATTTGTTGCTATTGAACAATTTTGACAAGAAATCTGACGTTTAAATGTCACTTGCAGCAAATCCATATGTCAATTTTGATTGTGGTTGCACAAGAGCCTTAGGATATGTAGTGTCTCAATGGCAAGGTACGGCTGAAAAAAGGATTAAAATAATAAACGTACATGCACACATCAATGCATTATAAAGAGAGATTATTTTACTGAAGGGATTAAATAAAATTACATTAATTACGCAAAACAAAAAGGGAAATAAGTTGTGAGTAACTGGGAACGTTAAATTACATACATTAATGACCTAACCTAACCCAACCTTACCTACCAAAGATTGAATATTGTTAATAATATTCATCTAATTATGAACAAATAACTATGCAGTAAGAAATATGTAGTACAGATAGCGCTAAAAGCTTTTGTATTGAAAGGTTTTATTATATTTTGAGTTGCTTTTTAATTAATTATACCTACAAAAATAAAAAGTTTGAATACAATTCATTTCGTTGTAATTTTAAAAGAAAGTTTTTTATGGTAAGAACTATTTTCCCCTGGTTTTCAATGCAAAATGGGGTAAGGAATTTTTCCTAGACGACAAATAAGCAAAAGAAGCAGTAATCGTAAGGAAAAATATTCATTACGTCTCGTTTTGTGCAGATATTGGAGAGAATGTAACGTGTATAATTTGATGCGATAGCGGTAGAAATGTAAGGAAGGAAGAGAGGGAAGAGTAGCGAATAAACGCTAAACTAGTTTGAGAAAAGGTATAGATATTTCTGCAAAACTGGACAATTAAACCGTCTTATCTGCATAACGCTCGACGGCAGTGGCGCGTGGGGTGGGCGAATAATACTATAAATATTCCAGGCTGACGTGGTATCAGGACAAGTAGGCCATTCGTATGCAAGAAGAGGGCCTTCCATCTGAACATGCCAGGATCTGTCAGTCACAATGGCTTCTCACGCCAGATCTATGTATCCCGGAGGATTCCGGCCAGATAACGTCGCTGATACCTCGTTGAAACACTTCCGAAGAAACAAAATTATCCATTAACTTTCGCGAACCGTTTACTTAGTCAAGGATAAATCGTATTTATAACTTTTAGCAAGAAAACTCCAATTTACATAGAAATTGCTTTCCAGTTTGTACAATCTTGCTAATACATTGAAAACCAATAAACAAACCGTTCGATACTTTATTTACGCAAATATAAGACAATTAGCGCACTTAGAATTAGAATAAAAATGTAATTACAAACGCGGAAGTAAATTCTTTACTTCTGTAGTTTATTTTCTTTTACAATCAAAAAATTACTCAAACTATTTAAGTAGGTACATGACGTGGAACTTTTAATGGGCATTTGAAGACTTTAATTTTTGATATTTTATTAAAACCGTTCATTTAAGGTTTTAAAAGAACAGTTAAATAATCATGTGAATGACGTACACGCGCAATAATTTATTATTACTAAAGTTAAATTAAGTAATGTGTGCGCGTAGAGATTAATAGTAATTCAGCTGATAATGATTATTAGAAAAATAATGGCAAATGTATTAGAAATAATAAAAAATCTTGTTAGTAAACGTAGAGTGCTGAGAAATTGCTAATACTTATATACGCATGCTCGTACCCCAAACATTTCTATTAGTCCTTTCCGGTTAGTTAATCGGCAGTTAAACGAAGCTGTTTCTTAAAAATTAAGTAATATTTCGAACGATTGGTGTTAGTGTTTAATTTAATTAAATTTAATTTTATTTCAATGAAGAGTGTCTTTGTTTTGTTTCGTTGTAGTGGTTTTTACAAGTATTCTATATAACACATAAGGTAATTAAAATTCTTAAAGGTAATTGAAAACGTTTATTTCTTGTCACAACCATAACCACTCAGTTTGAAGCTGTATCTATCTATATCAATTATTATTTATAAATTAACTTTATTTATTGTTCTTTTATTAGATCGAAAAAAAGTTTGGAGGAAAAACTGCTAAGGTGGTGACCAAAAGGTGAGTGCTAAGCAAGTTTTAAAAATTAATATTTTGTGTTGATAAAATAACTTGCTGATTTGTTTTAATTCAATCCGTAAATGTATGCATACGCTTCATATCAAAAACATTTTTGCAATTTAGTATGCATATACAGGGTGGTCACTTAAGTTGCTTAATTTTTAACTAATATACGCTCTTATGTGTAAGTTACGTCTTTATAAAACCATTCTACAATAACTTTAAAGGAATAGTTTCCAATTGTCAATATTTTTTGCATTACTATTATTACCATAAATTTTTTGTATCTTTTTCCAAGAATTAAACAATTATACAAGATATAATGAGTAAAAACTCAATTAAAAATTGACTCATNACTTCATTCTAATGAGAAATACAATTGCACTTAAACGAATATACAGTGTGTAAAAGTATTAATTACAGTGGGCAAAAATAACAGTAAATAGAGAACAACCATGAATTCATTATAATTTTTTGTTTTTAGCGAATTTTTCTAAGAATTAATTACCAGATCAAGAACACGTAAACTGTTATTGCCTAAATTTTTCTCAATGAAATATTGTTACCGCATTTCTAACGTTACTATTTTAATTAGTTCTGCCTAAGGAAATGTTTAAGGTGTAAACTTTAACTTTTGTATTTAAACTAAAGTCAATTTAACTTTGTAGTCTTCGAGACCATTTCTTTTACGTCTAATATTTATCATACTTTAATTGCTGCAGGAACCGAAAGACTATTGAATCTATGAAATCGTTTACCTTTTAAGCTTTCGATGTTTTCAGTCAGGGTCACTTTCTTAGAAAAGAAATCCACAAAGGGAGGTGTGTTCAATGTAGAAGCAAGAAATTGTTCCACTGTTATATACCATTCGATGTCCCCCACAATACATGGATTGCCATTTTTGTCTGGAGACTGAAACACATTGTTATATAAAAGTAACATCAACATTATTACCCATTAACATTACACTCACAGTTTCTGATGATTCAAATCCTAAACTATCACAACTGTCTTCTCTTTTAACAAAAAATTGTCTTCCAACATCTCCCAGTTTAAAAAGCAGGGCACAGGAATGTGTTATAGAGTCGTTAGCTTCCTAAAATAAATTATTTATGTTTATTATTATTTATTAAATGAAGAATTTTAGGGTGGGTACAAAAAATTTATATTTACCTGATCAAAGGGTTGTGTTTGGAATAAATCATATAGCGTTTTCCACAGGGCTATAAAGTAGGGTTGTGTCATTTTTGGTAGAGATTTCAGATTGCATCTACTCTCTTTTGAAAGGATGATATTTCGAAGGTTTGAAAGAATTCTTGCCTCAAACGAAGATGATGAAGTATCTTTGGAGCTGGTGCTACTTTTCTGATTTGAGTAGTTATCAACAGATAATTGAGAATTGAATACACTATAAAAAAAGTAATTGCAAAGTTTCAAACGAGAATAAAAAGTACAAAAGAATTACTTACTAAATTATTTGAAATATTTTTTTAATGACTTACGATCCTCCAGCAGTTGGTGAAGATGATTCAGGTAACAGGGTAAGACTATCGAGGGCAACACTTTGTTCGATATTATTAAAAAATTCAGCGGCGTCGGAAGCAATGTCAGCGTCTATTTCGAAGTGGGGAGACGTCTGGATGTCGAAGAGGGTAAGCAAGGGGGGAAGATGAAGGATAAACAGAAGTGTTAGTCTTAGAGTGGGATCCACACTACAGGTCAAACCCAAAGCAGTCACCAGTTCGCGGAAGTTCAAGAAACCTTCTTGTTTTGCGTCCAACAACTTAAGAATTATCATCTTTTTATTTTTATGACAAACAAGGTAATTATAAGATCATTACCCTAAATAGTCTGGCGGCAAGCTGCTCGGCTTGATCCCCCTTACCCCACGGTGACAGTGCCGCAAAAAGTATTTTAAAATATTCAAAGTCAACTTTGTAAGCTTCATAAGGCTGTTGACTCGAAGATTCGTTCTTGTAAAACAGGTGACGTTGTTGACTTAAAAGCTCTTCCCTTATGATACTTAACAGTTCCTATAATAGTACAATTAAAAATTGAATTAGTGCAAATATTATAGTAATAAATCTCACTTGTAATTCTTCTTTTGTGAAAAATTCGTCGCCACTAACACTTCGAATTACATTTCGTTCGCTATTGTCTTCGAGCTCTTGCACGACTCGAAGTCTGTGCTTCAATCTAAGACGCTCTATGTGTCCAGTTGTTAAAAATCCATACTCGGTATATGCCTCATATATTAGGTTCTTTACAGAAATTGTCTTCATAAAAAAAAGCGAATTAACACAAAAATCTAGTACAATATTTACGATTTACTTTCTTCTGTTTATCATATTCCTTATTTCTGACAGCTCCTCTCCCCTCATCATTATAAATACCCATTAAGAAATTGGCCAGAACTTGACAGGCTTCCCCTTCATCCCTACACTCGATTAATTTCTCTTGGTTTAGTTTAAGAACCATTAGAGCCACCTGAAAAATGACTTTGGCCCCATCGTAGAAGAAACAGTCAATAACATTAACGGCGCTCTCATATGGCATAACGCTGAGGAAGATAGTCAAAAACCAGGACAGCGAAATAATGTGAATCATTCCTAAACTGTCCAATTTTGTGTGCAAGGAGGGCAAGTATTCTCTAGTCAAATTATCTAGTACACCCTGATCAACAACAGCTCCCACCACTCTAGTGTTGTAGTAATCGGGTAAGAGATTCTCGCAGAGGGCGGCTAGAAGCCAGAAAGCTTCTTCTTCTGAACAGTATATCAAAAGGACGGATGCTACAATGTTCATTGCTTGGCAGTAGCCTATGTTTGGGTTCCGTAAGGCGTATGCACACAAGATACGACGTAAAGCGTCGATTCCAATGGGGTTTTGGAAAGCAGGGTGCTCCGGAAGTGATCGGTGGAGATCCCTTTCGATTTCGTCGTTTGCAGTGGAGCGTTGCTGAAGCGCTTGATCGACCAGGGAATGGTAGTAGCCAGGGTGAGTTGCTTTTTCGTTTATTGCGCCTGAAAGTACCCAAGAAATGCTAGCAGGAGACAAAATCAGAAAACGGTCAGATATAACAGTATAAAGTGTAAATTTTCATTAAAGACTTATGGAGGGGGGACAATTTCAAAGGTCATTACAAATTCAAATATTTTTAAAACTCACCTGAAAATGACATCCATATTTCCATCCTAAGGGTATCTGGGATACCATAAAGAACAAGTTGTGCTACTTCGGTTGTTCTGTACATGGATATTCCCCGTCCATATTCGTTAAAATGTAATTCCCATTCTTTCTCTTTGGCCTGCTGTTTTTTTAAGACTTCAGGAATGGAACTAAGAGGAAATAACACCATAAGTGGGGGCTGGACCTTCCATTTATATATATTTTCCTCTTCAGTTAACGGAGCATCTCCTGCGTGCTTTGTAGTAGAACTTGGGGTTCGCAATAGACCTGGAGGACTAAAAATAAAAAAATACATATACATAGTAAAGACTCAATTNTACAAAAATAAAAAGTTTGAATACAATTCATTTCATTTGATAACACCGGATTGTACCTACGTTTGACGGTAAATAAATAATTAATGAATCATTAAAAATTATCTGTTATCTTTTGTAGACATCCGTGAATGTTAACAGGTAAAAATATTTACTTGATAATGCTAAAAATAAATCGTGTGTACACAACAAAAACACCTTCAAAACATGTTATATTTTTTAAAAGAAAAGAACGAAAGAGGTTCTAAAATGCAAAAGAAAAGACGAATAAGGAAATTATACTTACTGGGAAGTATGAGGAGTTCTTGCAAGCAATTCGGATAATTTTTCAACCAAAAAGTCTCTATCAGATATTTGAGCGAATAAAAAATTAGAATTATTAACTTCATTTTTAGTAGAAACTATTATTGCCTTATCCAGTGACATAGTGGAAGAATTATTTTGAGTTTTCTCAACTAATTTAACATCTCTTAAGGGAATTACTAAACTAACCAGTGATTTTACCTATTAAACAAAAAACAAGCCATTTATTAATTGACAAAATTATTAATGTTTTCTTACCCTGCTTTCAAAGCAAATAAAATTCTGAGAAAGAAATAACCGACCAATAACGTGTCTTTTGTTATAAGGTGTTAAAAGTGTGCAATCGATAGAACCATCTAATTTTTCAGAGGCTGGTAAACGAAACATTAATCTGTAGGCTTCAGAGTGAGCTCTTGCATCTAGGTCTCGTTTCAGAAATGATGCCTTTTTAGGTACATTTTTACTGTACAAAATTTATTAATTATTAAAGCATACATTACTCAACAATATATTTCTTAGAACTTACCTTAATTTGTATAAAAGATCTTTATCTTCGTTAAACTTTTTACTTTCATCTATTAATCTGAAAAAAGGGAAAATAATAAGGCAAATGTCAGATAATATGCTAGATTTGTTCCAGACTAAATCAACTTTCATATTTCTACTCTAACAACAGGTTAGTCTCATTCTCATTAACATATTAACAATTACACTTATCATTAGCCCTTAATATGAAATTGCAAAATGGTTTTCAGATTATGGGCTAATAGTAGGTGCATTTGTTAGTCTGTTAGTCTTTAGGTAACTGTTTCAGTATGACAAATTATAATTTTACCTTTTCATTGCTAAATCTATTAACTGATCCATGAGGGCGAATGTTTCACTTTTTTTCAGAAACATATTAAAGTAATACTCCCCTTCCCTAGTAGTTATTTTAATTGAATCAGGGAAGATGAGACTGTTTGATTTTTCCAAATTTTTAATTTCTGACCACCTGATGCACAACTTTGTATCATTTCCAAGAATGTAGGAATGAAAACATAAATAATTCAATGATAAGTACATCCATCCTTGGCGGGGAAACTTTTTCCAGTAACTTAAAAAAAAAATCAGTATTAACAAACATGAAAGGACTTTAAAAGCCACACACTTACCTACAAGAATAGTAATTGACAAGTTTTTCTTCAAGAGGAAAGTGAAATAACCTGTGAAACTTTTCACTTGTAGTTTTAAAGTCTTTTGTATCTTCATCTGACAAAGCAAATAATAATAGAAGAAAATAGTAAATGCAACAATTTATAGAACAAACTCACCTTCAATTTCAACTTGATCTTGTTTAGCTGCTATAATAGATTCAATTTTACATGTAACAAAATCTGTGACATCATCTTCTTTGTCAAATGATTTTAATGTACCCATTATATTTTCATTCAACCAATCCCAATCATTTACAATGTCTTGTTTATATAAAGAACATGCTATTACTGCAAAAGTATTCAAATTTTTTCCTGTTTAGCATATGTGAACAATAGTTTTATGACTTACAGTAGTAAACCTCTGAATGTGGAGTTTGATGTAATATACGAAAAGGAGGAGGTTTGGTATCGAAAATAGAATCCATAGTTCCAACAAGAAGGGAAGAAATACCTTTTGAATTTCCATGACCTTTCCTGTGTTGTAGAAGGAAGTATTCTGTGCTTTGTTCAGTTTCCCTAATATAATATATTCATTGGCAAATATTCACACAAAAGATAATAGAAATATGTATTTACCACAAGGCATTGGCGATTAAAACTTCTTGAGGTTTAACCCACATAGCTAATGAAGAATTACGAAACTATTTAAGATAATACCCATAATATTTATGCTGTACGTGCACTGTTTCTACATTTGTCACACTTGTTTTGTATTATACACACTTAGTATTTCTTATCACTTGTAACTGATAACGTTATATATTTTTATAGTTGTTATTACAAAAGTTACATAAATTTTATCTCAGTATTTTTGCACATTGTATCATAATTTGTTGCTATTGAACAATTTTGACAAGAAATCTGACGTTTAAATGTCACTTGCAGCAAATCCATATGTCAATTTTGATTGTGGTTGCACAAGAGCCTTAGGATATGTAGTGTCTCAATGGCAAGGTACGGCTGAAAAAAGGATTAAAATAATAAACGTACATGCACACATCAATGCATTATAAAGAGAGATTATTTTACTGAAGGGATTAAATAAAATTACATTAATTACGCAAAACAAAAAGGGAAATAAGTTGTGAGTAACTGGGAACGTTAAATTACATACATTAATGACCTAACCCAACCCAACCTTACCTACCAAAGATTGAATATTGTTAATAATATTCATCTAATTATGAACAAATAACTATGCAGTAAGAAATATGTAGTACAGATAGCGCTAAAAGCTTTTGTATTGAAAGGTTTTATTATATTTTGAGTTGCTTTTTAATTAATTATACCTACAAAAATAAAAAGTTTGAATACAATTCATTTCGTTGTAATTTTAAAAGAAAGTTTTTTATGGTAAGAACTATTTTCCCCTGGTTTTCAATGCAAAATGGGGTAAGGAATTTTTCCTAGACGACAAATAAGCAAAAGAAGCAGTAATCGTAAGGAAAAATATTCATTACGTCTCGTTTTGTGCAGATATTGGAGAGAATGTAACGTGTATAATTTGATGCGATAGCGGTAGAAATGTAAGGAAGGAAGAGAGGGAAGAGTAGCGAATAAACGCTAAACTAGTTTGAGAAAAGGTATAGATATTTCTGCAAAACTGGACAATTAAACCGTCTTATCTGCATAACGCTCGACGGCAGTGGCGCGTGGGGTGGGCGAATAATACTATAAATATTCCAGGCTGACGTGGTATCAGGACAAGTAGGCCATTCGTATGCAAGAAGAGGGCCTTCCATCTGAACATGCCAGGATCTGTCAGTCACAATGGCTTCTCACGCCAGATCTATGTATCCCGGAGGATTCCGGCCAGATAACGTCGCTGATACCTCGTTGAAACACTTCCGAAGAAACAAAATTATCCATTAACTTTCGCGAACCGTTTACTTAGTCAAGGATAAATCGTATTTATAACTTTTAGCAAGAAAACTCCAATTTACATAGAAATTGCTTTCCAGTTTGTACAATCTTGCTAATACATTGAAAACCAATAAACAAACCGTTCGATACTTTATTTACGCAAATATAAGACAATTAGCGCACTTAGAATTAGAATAAAAATGTAATTACAAACGCGGAAGTAAATTCTTTACTTCTGTAGTTTATTTTCTTTTACAATCAAAAAATTACTCAAACTATTTAAGTAGGTACATGACGTGGAACTTTTAATGGGCATTTGAAGACTTTAATTTTTGATATTTTATTAAAACCGTTCATTTAAGGTTTTAAAAGAACAGTTAAATAATCATGTGAATGACGTACACGCGCAATAATTTATTATTACTAAAGTTAAATTAAGTAATGTGTGCGCGTAGAGATTAATAGTAATTCAGCTGATAATGATTATTAGAAAAATAATGGCAAATGTATTAGAAATAATAAAAAATCTTGTTAGTAAACGTAGAGTGCTGAGAAATTGCTAATACTTATATACGCATGCTCGTACCCCAAACATTTCTATTAGTCCTTTCCGGTTAGTTAATCGGCAGTTAAACGAAGCTGTTTCTTAAAAATTAAGTAATATTTCGAACGATTGGTGTTAGTGTTTAATTTAATTAAATTTAATTTTATTTCAATGAAGAGTGTCTTTGTTTTGTTTCGTTGTAGTGGTTTTTACAAGTATTCTATATAACACATAAGGTAATTAAAATTCTTAAAGGTAATTGAAAACGTTTATTTCTTGTCACAACCATAACCACTCAGTTTGAAGCTGTATCTATCTATATCAATTATTATTTATAAATTAACTTTATTTATTGTTCTTTTATTAGATCGAAAAAAAGTTTGGAGGAAAAACTGCTAAGGTGGTGACCAAAAGGTGAGTGCTAAGCAAGTTTTAAAAATTAATATTTTGTGTTGATAAAATAACTTGCTGATTTGTTTTAATTCAATCCGTAAATGTATGCATACGCTTCATATCAAAAACATTTTTGCAATTTAGTATGCATATACAGGGTGGTCACTTAAGTTGCTTAATTTTTAACTAATATACGCTCTTATGTGTAAGTTACGTCTTTATAAAACCATTCTACAATAACTTTAAAGGAATAGTTTCCAATTGTCAATATTTTTTGCATTACTATTATTACCATAAATTTTTTGTATCTTTTTCCAAGAATTAAACAATTATACAAGATATAATGAGTAAAAGCTCAATTAAAAATTGACTCATTAGTTCGATCTCGGAAATTATAGATAATTAATTATACGTATGTATTAAAGGCGGATTTTGTGAGTTATTTTGTAGGAAATTCAAAAAATTTAATTAATAATTTCTTTTAATGTAATAATTGTTATTGTAAAAGCACTATTTAAAGCAGAGGTATGATTTTTCCACGTGTTGCCTCATTAAAAAAAATAAGTAAGTAAGTAATTAAACTTAAATTTTGTCATTCGTTTAAATTATTTCTGTCTAAAGTAACAAATTTTTGTTGTTTAAAACAAAGTGGAGCATGTATTAAAAATGCATATTTAATACACTTAGTTAAACTTCGATTCAGTTTGCTTAAATAAATATGTAACAACTTTTTATAAAATTTTATCAAAAAACTGTGCTTGGTTTGCTGCACTGTAACTTTAGTAACTAACAAGTTTGGTTGACAGGAACGGAGAAGAAGCATTTCTCTTTGTTTAATTTTTATATACACAAGTAGCAAATCGAACATAGGGATCAGCAGCATAAAGTTCGTCAGTCCTAAGACTGGTTAGACAGGCACTTCCACTCTTTCTTTTCCTGAGTTAACCTTCACATTTTCCTAAAACTAGAACGACCCATATCCTTAACTATTTGCGAACAGTAATCTAATCTAGGTCTACCTCTAACTTCTGTTTCTGCCTCTAAAATGTTTCTGGCTAGCCCTTCATGCCTGAGAAGGCACGAATTTCTAAATTAATCGTTCGCGAGCATAGAAGTGACTTCTTTTTATTGAAGGCGACACGACCCTTTATACAAGCTAAGTTAATATTTAACACTTGTCTCATTTAACAAAGTAACAAAGGGATAGAGGTACTTTATTAAAGGCAATCATCATTAGAGACAAAATGAATGAAGTTTTAGAAAGAATAGAACAGAGGATATATGTAATAATGATTACAAAAATTCATGTGCAATCAGTAAATCTAGTTGATTCAGTAAAAAACAAACGAATGATAATTATCCAAAAAAATTAATTATGCGTTTTTGTTGGAGCATACGTAATCCTAAAATGTAGCATCGTGCTACAGATGGCGTTTACTGCGCCATTTGCGGTATTTTCTAAAACGCACTGTTAAGACAGCAGGTAAAAGTTGCGCCTGCGACGCGCTGATGAGATCCAAAAAGATCGAAATCGCGACCTGCGTCTGGCAGTTTCGACAGAATACAGACCACATCGAATTATTTTATAAAATTGAGTATACTTGGGTGATTTTAGTTTTTTGTACTTACAAGTTTTTGGGGGTCGATTTTAATTTTTACGGACACGGCTTTCCTAATTGAGACCTGAAGTAATTCCTATATACTATAAAACAACCTGGAAGGTATGCGTTTTATATTTGTTAAGATAGAAATACACGAATGTGTGCAGTGTCGTAATAAAGAGCTTTATTGAGACTGTTTCAACTTTGCCCAGGTTTCGCCGTGTTATGCAGGAAAAGATACATGTCTCTTTAGATATTCGAGTTTAAAGTTTCGCGCACTTTAATTTTATTGGCTACTTAAAGCAAGCATTTTATTACAATAATCTTCGCGAAAACAGCGAGGTGGAACATTAGCTTTTGACGTATGTAGCGATACCGAAAAGTTCTAAGGACGCCACCAGAACTAAGTAACATTCACCCTGTCCCTGGACGATAACTTCCTCTAATTAGACTCATATTATTACAATTAAATTATGCCATCAATTAAAACCTTTATTGGCCGTTTATTTTAGGATGAAGTCGTATAATGTTCTTTCTCGAATATAATTCGAAAGTCATTAAGCAATTTTATGTACTTTAACAGAATATTAGGTTCCCCGACAACTCCTTTCACGGTTAGTTAACAATCTACTTTGGAGCGACAGGACGTGTTTAAAAATAAAACAATTTCATTTATCTTTGTGGGTAGAACACAAAATAAATTTCATCGAACGCTGTTTAATGACATTTTTAGGTTGGTTGGGGTCTATGTTTTATATGAATTGTCTAGGCGTGCTGATAACATCCAATAAAATCGTAGTTGCGAATCACGTCCTGGCGATGAACATCAAGAATTTTGTGTTTTACTTGGTTATGTACCCATCACGTAGTAGCTACGGTGTGGGTTCGACAAGTGGATATCCTTACTAAAAAAAGGACTTGGTCGAATACCAAAAACCACGCTGGAAGGTAGGGCGAAAGGCTCTCTTCAGCTTCCTTTCAGGAATCTTGAGAATAGGTGGGTGGTGGTTCGGGTGAGAAAGATGAGATTGACGGTTGAAGACATAAGAGAATGAAAGATTTTATCTCTGGAATATTACTGCCCCAGCATTTACCTAAGTGACCCAAGGAAACCATAGAAAAACATGGACCAAGGCAGACGGACCCGAAATTGAACCGGCATCCTCTCAAATGCTCAATGGACTAAACCTGTAGGCCATGTCGCTCAGTTGGTCGAATACCACTAAATTTTATAATGAGTACCAATTTTCTAAAGATGGCGTTCACACATTGTCTGCACTCATTCATCCAACGCTGCCTAATAGCAGCAGGGAGGCTGGTCTTTTTACAATGGGTATTTTTCATAAAAAGTATATAATATTCAATGGTTGATTGCTCCATTACTCTAAATATTAGTGTGAATTCTTTCCATTACCTACTCATCACAAAAATAATGGTTAATGAAAATTATTTTCGTTACTCATTACAAAGGCAAT